TTGTGACTTGATGCTACTTAATTCTTGTTACAAGTTACGTACAAGGACAAAAAAAAAAAAAAGGACTTGTCAAATTTAATTTAGGTTGTGTTTTTTATATTTGAAAAAATATATTTCAAGATTCACCAATTTCAAAATTTATATGTTATTTAAAACTATATTAACATTAAACCATTAAAATTTATTGAATAATCATATTTCTTGAATAAAATATTACAAAAAAATATTCTCAAAATTTCAAAGTAAACGCGTTTTTTATTTTTATGTTTTGAGAAACAGTTTTTCAAAATGACAAAAAAAAATGCATTTTCAGAAATTTCAAAACAGACACTCAAAACACAAAACGAATTCAAAACTTAAAACTGAAACACGAAGAAAACAATCCATAGTGATTGAAAGGTTGTGATTTCATGAAATACATGATTAAAACCGGTGAATTTAACTTGACATTTTAGTATACTAGTCACAGCTAAACGTGCATTGCACGTTATTTTGAAATACTTTATAAACGCTATAAAAATGATATTTGAAAATCAGTTAATATAAAAAAACCACTCAACTTATACTATAGTCACGGGTTGCTCACTCTTCAAATTGCTTCAACTTACTCACTGAACTTTCTTCGTTTGCACTACATCCATCTAGTCATGTTAACGAGCTGAGCCGAAGCACAAAGCTCGAGCTTGACTCGAGCAAAACAGGCCTGAGCCGAGCATAGCAAAAGCTCGGCAAAAAAAAGAAGCTCGGTCCTAGTTTTCGGCTTGAGCCATAATGGGCCGAGTCGGCTCATGTTTTTTTACAAAAAAATTCGTTACAAATCTATAATTTTTTATAGCGTATTTAAAATTTGTACAATTTATGCGTGTTATAAATAATAACTAAATATTAATATATAAAAAAATACATTTAAACTTTAAAAAAATTAAATTTTTTTTATATTAGTTAGTCACGGGCCGATCGGCCCCGGTTCGAGCCGACGCCCCAAAATGGGACTCGGCCCGAGCCTCGACTAGGTGGAACCGAGCCCGAGTTGGGCCCGGCTTGAACTTTTTCCGAGTTGAGCCCGAGCTAGCGAGCTTTTTTGCCGTCCCTACATCCATCACTCTCATAAAATCTGTTACCTTAGTGCTGATGTAGCGGACAGAATTTTGATCATTGACGTAGTTATTCGAAACTTTACCATTAGCGTAATTAATCAAACGTTATTCATTTTGGGTAGCTAAAAAACGAACATCATATGCATAAATTTCTCGAATATTTATGATACTTTCCAACGAGAAATAAGATAAGTCGAATATTTATGATACTTTACAATGAGAAACAGGAGAAGGGGTCAAAATAGAGTTTTAATGTACATAAAGTTATTTATTCACATCCGATAGCTAATAAAATGAACATCATGGGTATTTGTTCTTCGAGTGGTAATGATAATCTACTCTCATTCACGTCTAGAAACAAGAGAGAATTAGGTGGTTCATACACTTGCTTATGTCGATGATATGTTCATCTCGTAACTTTTATGAAAAGATTTTTAAAGGTGTTTCAATGCTTTGAATTGCTCGTAGACTTGACTTAACCACCAGCCGTACCTTTATTTCTTAATTGATAGTTAAAGGATTCCATTACTGACTTTCGTAAAACATAATTTAATTCATTTCTTTTCAGATCAACTAAAGCAAGAAAGAAGAAAAAACAATTGAAAGAAATACCAAATAAGACAAATTAAGATGGAATTATTAAACCCTCTTCCACAACTACCATGAAAAAGAACTCTCTTGCTTTTCTTTAGTCGATGAAGTACAGTTTTCTGGTGCAGCAGTTAAGTTTTTAAGAACAAAGTCGGATTGGGAGGATGAAACCCCCAAATTTATATCAATTATTGGAATCTCGCCAAATTATTGTTATAGTCAAATGTATGTGATTCAAATTTTGGATATTTTTATGAAGCGTATGTCAAAATATGCTTTATTTACGAAAACTTTCGATTAATAGGGATGAAGGAATGTTGGAATTTCGACAAGAAAATACAGGTTTACTTGTGTAAATTTTAAAAAAGTACGCATTTTAAATTTCTCTCTCGAACTTGGTCTTTCTTAAGCAATATTCTCGTTTACAAAGCTGTGCTCGTATTTGTATACCTTGGATGATTTCAATGGAATATTGACAATCGATATGTATTTACCAAAAATACAAAACTAATGCATTCGAGTTAATATTATTAAGATCCAAAATACATGAAAGAAGTCTGAAATAAGTGGAAAAATGAAAATAAATTAATCTGTGTGCTAAGAAAGTACCAGTGGGTGCACCAAATCCTCAATAAGGTTAGACTAAATTAATTTCTAAATTTTTGGTGTCTTAGTTGACCCAAACTAAGCTTAATAACAGAAGTTCAGTATAAAAGACAAAACCATATTACAAGTTTCTTCAAACTTGAACCAACAAGAGGAATGGATCCTTCCAAGTTTCTTAGCTTTTTTCTTGTACTGAGTTTTGCCTTTTCTTCAGCAAATGCCGAAATACATTTCCATGAATTTGTTGTATGTCTACTACTTCTCATCCTTAATTTCTCATGTTTTCTCATGTTCCACGACTAAATTTTCCCGGCTTATTAATAATCATCTATGTAACAGGTTCAAGCAACGCCGGTGAAGAGGTTGTGCAGTAATAACAACATAATTACGGTCAATGGACAGTTTCCTGGACCTACATTGGAAGTTCGAGATGGAGATACTCTTGTAATCAAAGTCATCAACAGCGCACGTTACAACATTACACTCCATTGGTACTTATCATTTTAAGCATGTGCACCAATACACGAATATATATATTAACTTGGTTTGTTCGATTTCTTGTTTTCAACTCTCTTAGGCATGGTATTCGTCAGATGCGAACACCATGGGCAGATGGTCCAGAATATGTTACCCAATGTCCTATTCAACCTGGGGGATCATATACATACAGGTTCCCTATTGAGAACCAGGATGGAACATTGTGGTGGCATGCTCATAGCAGATGGCTTAGAGCTACAGTTTATGGAGCACTCATTATATACCCGAAACTTGGTGTTCCATACCCCTTCACAAAACCCAATAAAGAAATCCCTATACTTCTCGGTAAGAACTTTAATATTGAATATTTTGTTAGACTGTGTGAAGCCTCTATGCTAATCATACAGACTTGTCCTGGTCCCAATATTTGTACTTATCTCTTGGATTCTTTTTTAAATGGAACTATCTTGAACAGGAGAATGGTGGAACAGGGACATCATTAGTGTACTTCGACAGGCTCAGTTTACAGGGGCAGCTCCTAATGTTTCTGATGCATACACCATTAATGGGCAACCTGGTGGCCTGTACAAATGTTCTAGCAAAGGTTTGGACACTAAAAATCTGTCTGAACAGATCGTTACAATTATATAATAATATCAAATCCTGCAGGCTGATATTTTTTCCACTAACAATGTAGAAACCGCGAAATTCTATGTGAAATCTGGGGATAGTGTACTTCTCCGAGTCATCAATGCTGCGCTCAATCAAGAACTCTTCTTTACAGTTGCCAACCACATGTTAACCGTGGTTGGGAATGACGCAGCCTATAACAAGCCTTTCACAACCAGAGTCATCATGCTTGGGCCTGGACAGACTACAAACGTCCTCCTTTCAGCTAATCAACCTGCAGGACGTTATTATATGGCGACTCGTGCATATGCTACCGCCCAAAATGCACCATTTGACAATACAACTGCCACTGCTATTCTAGAATATGATTCTGTTCCCTGCACTGCCAAAACTGGATTAGCCCCGAGACCATTGTTGCCACCACTTCCTGCATTCAATGACACTCCGACTGTAACAGCATTCACCAGCCAAATAAGAAGTCTTTCTACGCAAAATGGTCAAGTCTCTACTCAAATTGATGAAAACCTGTTTTTTACTGTGGGATTAGGTCTAATAAACTGTATGCCTGGACCAAGATGCCAGGGGCCAAATAACACACGCTTTGCTGCTAGCATGAACAATATATCCTTTGTCCTTCCTAGGAGGACGTCCTTATTGCAAGCGTACTATCAAAACATACCAGGTATCTACACCACTGATTTCCCACCTGTCCCTCCAGTGATGTTCGATTATACAGGCAACGTGAGTCGTGCACTCTGGCAACCACGGAAAGCAACTAAGTTGTACAAATTAAAGTTTGGTTCAAGTGTACAAATTGTGTTACAAGACACTGCTATTGTCACAACAGAAGACCATCCGTTGCATCTCCATGGATATCATTTTTATGTTGTTGGCCAGGGCTTTGGCAACTTCAATCCAAACAGAGATACAGCGAGATTCAACCTCATTGATCCGCCTGTTCGCAACACAATTAACGTGCCTGTTGGTGGATGGGCAGTTATTCGGTTCGTGGCAGATAACCCAGGTGAATAACATGGACACTCAAACAAGTCTATCTAAGATTTCATCTACTCTATTTGTTTATGATTTCGTTTTTCCATTTCAGGAGTTTGGCTTATGCACTGCCACATAGATTCCCATTTAACCTGGGGCTTTGCTATGTCGTTCTTGGTCGAGAATGGACCTGGAGAGTTGCAGTCAGTTGTGCCCCCTCCGCCAGATCTTCCTCCTTGTTAGGACCGTTGCTTCTGCAACAAGTTGTACTTTTATTTGATAGTCTACTGTGCTGTTTCATTCGTTCGTGACATGTTTGGTAGGGAGGATTGAATAATACTAGACAATATTAAGAAGCAAAAAAAGCGAAAATCCCCTTTATTATACAATCTAGTCCTATCAAGTGCTGCGTATCAAATGTGAACTTATTGTAATCGACATTTTAAATGTAATTCATCAGTTCTATAGAATTTTAAATGTAATTTTTAAAGCAGGGGAACTACCAGGCCTGATCAAATGTTTCAATTTCCAATTGGGAGAAGAAAACTATGTATCAGATAAATTGTCTTAATTTCCTGTAGTAACAAAACTCTGTTCAATGCTCCTACAGAACCACATTTATAATTATAATTATAAATGACTGATGAGCTCTAAATATCTAATAACTTTGATGAATTGTTCCCTTTCCCAGTAAACATTACACAATCGAGCCTTTGAACTTTTAAACGTACGATCATATTAGACATGCCTAGTTGAATATATTGACTGATTTATTAGAACAGAAGTGTGCACCTATCTCTGACAAGAAGTTGTATAATGTGCATTGCCAAAATGTACAAATTATGTCTAACAATTAAGTTGATTCTTTTCTATTGATGAACATTATATACAATTTGCTGCCATTATGTCCGGAAAGAAAATCTTCTCAGAAACTACCTGAAGCACCCTCTTGGTCTCTTAGAATTTGCTGTTGCACTACTAAAACAGAACCTGGGCTGTCGAAATCCGCAGAGGCAACAAAATCTCCTATAACTCCAAGCTCGTTGTTTTCACCCCAATACGATAATCCTCGTAAAAGAACAGGGTTTATCCCATGCTTCCTTCCAACAATCCAAAGATCATAGTATACGGTATTCATCGCTTGAATTGCAGCAATGGTTTCTAAACCATTCTTCACCACGACTTCTTGATAAATTACCTGATTGTTCCTTTCATTCTTCACCCAAAACCATGTCACTAGACCATCATCAAGTTTCTTCTCCATCTTGTTATCTCCCTCGTTGTTATGTGTAAGAAATCTAATGACAGTTAACGATACATCTGGATTAGCAGCCATTCGATCTGCATAAGCTAGGGCCTCTCTAGCATCTGATCCACCCAAGAAAATAAGAGCAAAATGGTGAACTGAAAGCCTTGCCGAACAGTTCACAAGATGATTTTGGTAACAACTTCCTTTATTCACTAGAATTCCAACTGAGCAAGGTGCGTGTTTCAAAATGTTTGCATTCACAGATATATTTCCTTGTACCAGCAATTCTGTTCCATCGAGGTTGTCCAAATGTTTCTTGTATAGTGGCAGGATTATTAGAGAAGCTTTTTTAACAAGTGCTAGTTCACAAATGTCTTGGTACATGCTTCTCTTGGAGGTTATTGTAGTAAATGAATGGATCTTTATGTATTTACCATTGGCCTCCTCAAAAATTTTCAAAGCATTATAAACCGAATTGAAGTCAGCATCAGAACCGTTTTCTTGATTCTCGTGATCTATGAACACTGGAGCAGCACGACCCGCAAGCTCAATGAGGCGTAAAGCATGAACCTTGAAAGGACTGTTAATGGTCGGATTGGAGACTTCAAGTAAGTTAATAACTCCAGCCAAACTTTCTTCACCATCTATACAAGCTACAATATGGAGTTCTGTATTGGGAGCGGTATGCTGAATATTTCTTCTCTTGTTAACCATGTAAGGCCTTGTGGGATCATAGAGTACACTTATTAATGGTGTAGCTATAGACGTCACAGTAACTGTCAATATCACCAACATTGAGAAATGTGGCTTTGCTATCATCTGCAAACAAGAAAAGTCTGATTAATGGCTCTAATCTAGGGACAAAATGTGATATAAGGCCTTCTATGTCGGCTAAAATCTGTCACATAATGCCATTATGTCATAAAAGAATACTACGACAGTAATACAAACCAATACAGAAAGGCAAAAAATTAGCATAGCAGGAGAAAAACCTAATAGAACAATGAAACACTACATACCTTAAAATCCATCCAGTGGATGAACAAAAGAAGCTCCACTTCACCTCTTAAACTCATTATGAGACTCAGGGTGAAACTATCTGTAATCGACATGTCAAAGAAACGAGAAGCAATAAGAGTTGAAACCATTTTAGCCACATATGCGACTAAAGCCATGTAAAACAGAGTTTGTAGATGTGACCATTGGGCACTTATACTGTACACATCTGTGGTCATTCCCACAAAAATAAAAGAACACGGCATAAGAAGGTCCATTATAATAGTTTCACTCTTCTGCACTAGAGTGGCTCCCAAAGGAGGGCCATCTGGAACTGCCAAACCAAGCCACAATGGCCCGTTTGCCATGGCTAAACCACCCATATCAGCAACAAAACCGGCTACCAGAACGCCCAACAATATGCCAATCACATAAATTTGATCAACCGGCTTTCCTTCAGGTGTTGTTCTTACAATCCATAGCATAGCCTGTCGAACACCACCAATAATTGATACCATAACAACTATTAACGAAATCAAGTACCACAAAGCAGTTATAGTCCTCTCTTCCCCTTGTTTACCTGCCTCAAATATAATTATCCCTTGAATTCCTATAATATCACTAATTACTGCTGTTGATAAGGCCATTCGTCCGATATCAGAACTAAGAAGATTGAGCTCTCTCACTATAGGATAAAGAACGGGAAATGCCGTGATAGACAAAGCCGATGAAACTCCCAAAACTGAAAGAGCTTTTGCAAGTTCTTTCTCCTGAGATTTTCTCAGTATAATTGCTGTAATTCCAGTAGTACAAATTGGTACAAGCACCCCAGATAGTGCAATATACCAATGTTTTTTTCCCACTTTCTTTATCACAGAAAGATCCATTTTCACTCCATTCAAGAAGAGGAAGTACATGAACCCTATTACTCCAATGTTTTTCAGCACAAAATCTGAATCACCAGGGAACACATATTCACGAAATCTCTTCTTCCCGCTTAACACAGATGGTCCAAGTATAATGCCACCCTAGAAAATTATAAATCCATTGAGACATTACAACGATAAACAACACAATATTAATTTTCGTTTATGAATCTTGAAAATAAGAAAAAATAATCAAACTTACAAGGATACAGGAGACAACCATTGGCTGTCTTAAGGGCTTGAGGAGAAAGCGAAGAATTCGAGCAATGACAATGAATGTGACAACCTGTAATAACACACGAGGAAACGCTCCAAAGGTATGGGAGGATGCGTGTTTCTCATAACATACAAGGAAATCTTTCTCGATCATTTCTGAGGGTTCGCTGAGGCCAATCTTCATCATTTCTGTAAAAAAAAAAAATCAAACGTTGACCATGCTGTCATGCATTCAATACTAAGAAAAACCATGCAAATTAGCCAAAGTTACAAGGAGATCTGAAGGGTTGGACAGGCGTGAGTTTAGTTAGTTTAAATTTAGCTATCCTATTGTTTAATGGTGAGAAGAATGGTTGGTTAGTATTTTGTTTACAAAACGTTGTAGAACAAGAACATATGGATAATTTATAAGATAATAATATTTAATATATTTAATTAGAGATAATAATTAAATTCTTTGAAAATATTACTCCCTCAATTCCATTTATATAAAATAATTTTATTTATATGATAATAATATTTCCTCGTCAAATCATTACAAAAGTTGCTTATGTGTTTTTCATACTTAGATAATGCTATATAACTACTTTACTATTAATATCACCACATACATATTTTATCAATACAGAATATCGTACAAATTTTTTGCAATATATCATTCAATTTTGCGAGACGAGTAGGGAAATTTTAATCCTACAAAGTCCCTCCTATTTTTCTTTTATTTCTTGTACAAATATCTTCCACTATTATCTTTTGCGACGTTCAAATTTCCCTTCCCCTATTTCCTTTTTCGCCGTTCATTTTCCTTCCCTTTTATTTTTATTTCACAAAATTAATTAATCCGAATCAAATTCTAACATAATTTTTTATCAAAAAAAAAAAAAACTAAAATTACTTGGGGTAATTTAAATAAAAAACATTCCATTTAATACTAGTCAGCGGCATTGCAGCCGTCCATTTGCAGGTTGTAGGAATGCAGGTATAATATTAAAGATGGACCAGTTTTTTGACATGTTAAGTCCACCAATTTATAGCATTGTTTGTACTTTGGACCACACTAAATTCTTTCTTTTATTCCTGCATTTTCCAGATGGCCCATTAATTATTCTTGCCATGATGTTGTTGCCAGCTACCTTTTCGTAAGGTATACTCATTTCTATTAATACCCTCGACTGAGTAGGATCATGTTAATTACGTCGAACTCTATCGTCAATGTAATTGAACATAATGAATCTTATAAAGTTCAGTGTACTAGTTATGTCATAGATGTATGTCGAGATGAGAAACATATTTTTGGAAAATATTTCAATCTATAAAGTATAAGTAAATATTTGAGATAGGTAACAATACGAACTTGACTTGTTGGTAAGGTATCTATTGAGCTAAAACAAAGTCGAAAACTAGATAGATTATTGTAAGTTAATCTTGAATTATGGTATAAAATGGACCAAGAGATTTTGGGTCAATAATTATGGTATAAATCGACGATGAGAAAGATTTCAACGTAAAATGTAATGTAATTGGTCTGGTTTATTGAAATTTTCTTCTTACTTATATATTGTTGAAAAGAATTGTGTATGCATAGATGTGATGTACCGAAAATTTTACATTTTTCAATTCAAAAGGTAAGAAACACAATTTGCTCTCTTTTACGAAATTATCAAATGTAAATACTTCTATATATAATGGTATATATATGTCAAATGTAGATGCAACCACTTTGTCCAAAAATTATAGTTCATGGAAAATGTGCAATTCACCCTATATCATTGAGAGTGAGGCTCAAAAATTCATCCTAAGTCCACTCCGTTGGGCCTGACTTCAAAGCACACCTCGAAGAAGCCATTGGGACATAT